GGAGGGAGGGAGGGAGGGAGGGAGGGCCAGGGTTACCTTGGGGCAGCCGGAAAGCGTTCTCCTGCAGCCAGCTGAAGAGGCCGGCAAAGTCGCAGTCGCACAGCCAGGGGTTGCCCTCTAGGCGGAGGACCCGCAGGCTGGGCAGGGCGGCCAGGGCGGCCACGCTCAGCCTCTGCAAGCGGTTGTGGTTCAGCTCCAGCACCTGCAGATGCTCCAGGCTGGCGAAAGCCGCCTCGTCCACCTCGGCCAGCTGGTTGTTCCCCAGGCAGAGCTTGACCAGGCGCTCCGCTGACCGGAAGAGGCTGCCGTCCAGCCGGCTCAAGTTGTTGTAGCTCAGATCTAAGTAGAGCAGCTTGCCGGAGCTGGCGAAGGCGCCGTCCGGCAGGGCAGCGATGGCGTTGTGCCTCAATTCCAAGTAGACCAGGTCGCTGTGGAAGAGGAAGAAGTCCTCCGGGACCCTCTGGATGCTGTTGTTGCCCATCAGGAGCTTCCGCACGTCCAGGGGGAAGGGGGTGGGCACGCCGGGCAGCCCCCGGCCCCGGCAGTCGACCGTGTGAGTGTCCGTGCAGCTGCAGGTGGCGGGGCAGGGGTGCCCCAAGGAGAAGGCCAGGCAAAGCAAGACCAAGGGCGGCACGCCCGGCAGCATCCTGGGAGCTCAGCGAGGCCACGCGGCAGCCATCGCCACCGGCAGAGAAGAAGCCGTCGGCAACTTGGCAGAGCGGCAGCCCTGCGCGCGAGGCAGGCGAGCGGAGTGTGGTTGGAAGCGTGTGGTCGAGCCGGCAGATCACGTATCTTGGATCAGATAGCAGCCGCTCAAAAGGAGGCGGGAAGGCAGCCCGTGCAAGGGGGAGGGGCAGCCGGGGGAAGGGGGCGAGCGGGGGGGGAGGGGAAGCTGGGGGGTAGGCTTGCTGTGCCCGCCCCTGGAAGCTGTGCCAGGAGCAGGGGGGGCTACCACCCAGGAAGGCCCCGGGTTCAAGAAATAAAAGGAAGCACGTCTCACACTGGGGCCAGACCGGCAAACGCAAACCTGTTCACTTCTTTCATCTGAATTCACACAAGTGAGGTCAGCCAAATCCCAGGGCCGTGTTTACACAACACACAAACACAAGTGAATACACTACACAATAGTTTCAAGGGAGCCCTGCATGACCCCGGGAGTTGAGACCATAAATACACAATCCAGAAAACCGATGCTTTGCAAGCTTCCCCCCTTCCCTGTCTTCCCTCTCCCTGACTCTGAGCCACGCCGTATCCTAAGAAGGAAGCGCTCTGGATTCCAGAGGAAAGGGAGGCATCCTGAAAGCCGCACTTGCCAAAGGGTCCACTAGGGGGAAGCACA